TTGTTATGTTTACCAATTCTTTCCTCCGAACGGCGTTCACGAAAACTGCTCGACCTGCTACTACTAAACGCACCGCCTCTCCATTCCGTATCGACTTTACGATCTACTCTCTCTCCACCACGATCTCCTCTTTCGCTACTGCGCTCATTACGATCAACTCGGTCTCCACGATCACGAAATCCACGGTCACCCCATTTATCTTCTCGATGACCGGGTTTATCACTAAAGCGTTCACTCCTCGGAGATGAAACAGTTGATTCCCTTGGAATTATTCGTCGCCATTCACCAGCTGTCCGATCTTCGCGTTGTTCACGATCACGAGCTGCTTAATCATCGGTTCTATTAGAATCGACTATGTCGAATGAGCAACAAAAAAAAAAAAAAATCACAAATTCTCACGTGGTTCAGCCACGCTAACTCTGATTGGCCGATTTCCAAGCGACTATAATAATTGTATTGTAGTTGATAGGATATTATTGTAATATTTTAAAATATTTATCAATGATATGTAATAATATACATCCACATACCTCTCCGCTTAGCTGCAATGCTTTTGTCAATGACTCTACGTCCTCAAATTCAACATATCCAAAACCTTTAGGTTTATCATCTCTATCACGAAGAATTCTGATGGTAATGATCTGAAAAAATTTAAGATGTAACATTTAATTACTGTCAACAACACGTATCACTGAATCGCTTGGCAAATTTGCTGACTTTTGAATTCCTAAAGAACGATTCCACATCTTGTTCAGTTAAGTCAAAGGGTAAATTTCCAAGATGTGCAGTATATGGAGGTGATGTTGGTAAAGGTTGAGGTGCTCTTTCTGGGCGACTCATGAACCGAGAATCGCGTGTCGATTCGCGAGATTCATAGCGTGAATCTACGTGATAATTATGCGTTTACCATTAGCAATAATTGTATATGGTACTACATAATTATATATCGTGATATAATAATGAATTAAGAAGATAATACCTCTCGAACTCGTTTTTCCAGTTGGATACATCCTATTTCTATCACCGAATCCACCACTACGACGATGTAAATCATCATGTTCACCATGACCTGAAATCGGATCGGATATTTGAAATTAAAATTTTCATTTTTTAATGATAGCTTCTGACATATTTTAGAAAAAAAATATAAATTACCTAAGGCCGCGGCAGCTAGATAAATCGAATATAATTGTTTAGATTTATAATAATTGTTAAATAGATTAACATACATTATACAAGAACTCACGCGCAGAGGGTAAATCATCCATTTCATCAGCCCAAGAACCAGTTGCTGGTTGAATATAACAGTATTAAACGTCAAACATTTGCAAGAGCGTGCCAGCGAAATTAAGTACGGTTCAATTATATCCTACGTACACTGATCTGCCAAAAAATCTGTCAAGGACATTTTAGTTCCTTTCTTTTTTGAGCCTAAGATCCCGATATTTGCAATAGTAAAGAATAGATCCACAATAAAGATTATTCAACTTGAAGTGGCAACCACAACTAACAGCCTGCCAATCGAAAAACTTCACACTCACCCATTTTGAACGTTTTAAGGATGTTGACTATAAAAAATGTGCAAAGGGCAAAGTGAAAAAAAAAAAATTGCTACACAAAAAAAGGACTTTTGCACATATGCATATTAGTTTAAAATTTGTGGGCTGCCTGGTGGCTGTGGACCAATCGTAAAT